TGGCTAATATTGTGTTAATAAATATAAGACATTTATTTATATTAGATTAAATTTAAAAAAAAAATTTATCATAAAATTTTGAACGGTTCATGAAAGTAAACGAGTTCGTGAACGTTAACGCGAACGCGTTTATTTTTTTTTAAAGTGAACTTAAACGTGAACGCGTTCGATTTTTGTCAATTTGAACACAAACGCGTTTGATTTTTTTAGAAATGTTTACAGTATTAACATTTAATAATATTAATCAGAGTTGTTAAAAGATACTTTTTAAATGGATCTAGATACAGATACATAGTCAAAAAAGTTATCTAGATCCAGATATAGATACATCGTCTAAAAAGTTATCTTGATACAGATACAATTTTTTAATACTCTTATATAATTGCATAAACCTAAATTAGGATTCAATTGTGAAAATGTATGAAATGAGATAAACACTTTATTGACTAGATATCACATTTATCAAAATTAAAATAATGATTTTTAGATTTTAATATAATAATATAATATATAAAAATATATGATTAAATGATTATAAATAATTATTAGATTTCAGTAATAAAATATTTTAAAAATTTTGGTTCATTAAGGCATCCTCGTTAATCCGTACAGACATTTTAAGCTATACTAAAAAGCCTTTCTACCAGGGCACTTGAAGGGATTATGAATTAGTGATCTACATTGGGCCTAATTTTTCAAGTACGGCCGGCCCGAAATTTAAAAAAGTTTTGCCGGCCCAGCCCGAACTCCAAATTTTTTTTAAAAAAATTTACCGATCCAGCCCGGCTCGAATTTATTTAAATTTAGAAATTAATTTTTATAATTATTCAATATAAAAGACATATGTTATATGTCGTTTAGTTTCAATAAATAAAATCAAATATTTTTTTTACATAAAAAATTCAATATAAAATTGATAAATTTAGATATATAGACCTGTGCGCCGACGAAATATTGGCAGCCGGAGCAATTTTGAAAAAATCTAATTGACGGCCCGAGGCGCGCCGAAATTTAGCCGCCGTCAATAAAATCGGCGTAAATCGGCGCATATATAAATTTTTATAAGATAAATTTTTTTAATTGCTTATTAATTTTAAAAAAAACAAATAAATATACACTATTCTACAGATATCTCGGCATATTTTTTAATATTCATTTAATAGAAAACTTATTATATCCAAAATCGATTTCGTAATTTAATTATCATGTATAAAAATTATTTTATTTAAATTTTTGGGACATAATGATGATCTCCTTGAATTTAACGTCAATCCAGCGATAGAGAAAACTCTTTCACTAGGTGTGCTAGTCGCCAAATGCAAAGAATTTTTTTAGCGAGCCTGGAAAGACTGGGAAGTTCACTCTTCTTTTCTCTCTCAATATCTTGTGAATGTCGTTTTCCAAGAAAACTGTGTCATTCTTGTTCTAAGTCATCTAACTTGGAATCATAATTTATATTTGTTGGTTTATTTGCCAATTTTGTCAAATAACTTGATTTTAATAATTCATCTTCATCCTCATTAGCTATATTTACTACCTGATTATCATCATTCTCTAAGTTTAGGATGTTTTATTATAAATATTGAAGCTGAGCAATTTTGCTCTATTAAATACTTTGACACAATTGTCATTTTTAAAAATCTTGGATCTAAAAGAGAAGCCAATACCTAGATAATTTTAAATAAAAAATAAAAGAATATACTTATATAATATTACTTGCAGATTACAAACCGGAAATCGAAACGCAAGTTTTTTTTAGCATATTTTCCTTAAATGAAATAATTTCAGAACTATTACTATCATTTATTATTAAATGTGTTTCATTTTCACTTCTAAAAAGTAACGCCAAGTTTAAAGTAGGCTATTTTAGTACTGAAAGAAATTCGACAGTTTTTTTAAATTTTGAAAGAAATGCTAATAGTTTTTCTACCAGATCAGATTCATAATTTGATAATTTGAGAAAGTGCTTCCCAATTATTTTCAAAACATTATTAATTAAATTCTTATTTAATCCAGATATGCTTTCTAGCATAATTAATATACTATGCCAACGTGTTGGGAAATTTAATTTTAAGGTTTTCATATGCGTGGAATTATTGTTATTATTATCATTGGAATTGCCAATTTGAAACCGGGTATCCGGTTATGGATCAATGCTGTCAAGATCTAACATGTCTGATGTTAAATCTATTGTACTTAGGCATTTTCTTTGATATTCCTCGAATTCAAATTCAACCTCTGCAGTTTTATATCTTTAGCAGTAAGAATTTTTCTTATTCTTTTGCAAAAAATTTCCAGACTATAGATTTTTTATTATCCAGAGTTAGGATACTAAAATTATTTAAATTATTAAAGTAGATGCATCCATTTTAAAAATATCTAAAATTATGGTAACTTTTGGAATTTTAGATTTTTGATTGATTGAAATCTATAATGACGTCAATATAATTAAGATTTTAAAATAGTAGAAAATAAAAATTCATCAAAATCCTGATTGACATTAAAAAATTACAAGAGTGATGTTGACCAATTATTAGAATAAAAAGGTAGAAAGAAATTACTGCGCCGGCGTAATTTTCTTAACGGTGGCGTTTTCGGCGTAACCAAAAAAGGTCGGCAGTCGGCCAACGGCCGACTGGCGCACAGGTCTAGATATATTTAAAAAAATTTCCAAGATCCGACCCGGCCCGAATTTTTTTTAAATATTAGACTCGGCCCGGCCCGAACCCGATTATTTTAAATAGAATTAGGGGCCGGGCCTAACTTTGCAGATCTCTATTGTGAATAACAATTTTATATCAGGATATTCTCTAAAAATATAAAATCTAGTTGAGTATCAAATTTTAAATCATTATTAACAATCATATCTGCTGATGCGGGGTACTGAAAAAATAGGATATTATATTAATTGTTTTTTTTTCGCAGGTTATTTGTTATCAGTTGAAGATCTTGATAACAACTAATCTTTGTATTAATTGTTTTTTTCATTAACAGTGTTTGATTTTTTCTCTTAAAATTGAAAATTACAATTTTAAACATTTTATTTAGTATCTATACCTTTAAATGTTTTACAATGTTGCAAGTTGAGGTAATGCTAACTGAAATTTTCGTATTTTTTTATAGATATGGCAAACATTTTACTATCGGAGATTTGTTTTTTTTATTTTGAGATATTATTATAAAATATGCTCTATAAATTGGCCATGAAAACAATGTCTGAACTTGTTGATGCATCATTGATTATTACTTCTTCCTCTTCATCACTTAATATTAATCTAAAATAAATTTTTAAAATTAGTATAATAAAATAAAATTAACTAATTCCATTAAAAATTAAAATGGCAGATTTCTTGAGTTGCATTATAATATCAAAATTTGTCAGATTTATTGATAAACTCTGACATAATATTTAATGAATATCTATATATCTATTTTTTTATATATTTTAATATTTTATATATAATATATAATATTTTATTAGAGTAGTCTAAATATTTTTTAATATATATATTTAAATTATATGTGAAATAAAATAAATTTTGCATTCAAGTATTTTTGTTTATAATAAAAACGTTAAATAAAAATATAACAAAATGTATCTTAAAAGTATTTAAAACAGATATAGATACGTCTGAAATAATATCTAGATACAGATACGGGTATTTTAATCAAAAATCTATCTAGATACAGATACCACATTTTTATATCTAGCAACTCTGATATTAATTAATAATAAAAAATTTGGAAAGAAAAATAAATTTCGTAAGTACAAAGGTGAGACATGCTCAACAAAAATATTTTAAAAAATATCAAATCAATTATCTTGAAATTTTGTAGATATATTCTTTACAACAAAATATTAAACTACTAAAAAACTAGGTCAAAATATCTACAGTTTTTTTTTATGACCAAGATTATAAAAGCCATGGGGTATTATATATCTCACCTTTGTAGTGAAGAGTTAATTATTTTCTAAATAATAATCATATATATATGATGTTTACCTATATAATATCAGATTCTGTAAATTCCATATTAGAGAAATGAGTTATTTTATAAATTAATAAATTATAAATTTTCTAGCGTGATGGACATAGATAATTTATATATAATACTAATTTTTTTATAAATGCCCAGTGATTTAGTTAAGATAGGGGGAATTCATGCCCAGCCCCCACTCGTTTAGCCTATTCAAATATTTCATTTTTCTTTCTTCTTTTCTTTTCTTTTCTTTTCTCTTCTCATCTTTTTGTAAAAATTTTAGGCATCCTAATTTTTTATAATATAAGAGGCTTGGTTAATGGATATGTCTAAACTATTCCATTTTTAAAAGGGATTCGAATCCCGCCCAGAGAAATTTTCCTCTTTCATCCATTTATATCTTGTATAATCCGGTTGAGGTATGCAATTATTAAAGATTGGCGTAGCCCGACCCGAAGTCTGAAATTCGCCTTGTGCAAAATATATAGTAATTTTACTAACCGGACCGGGTAGAAATTATTATGGATAGGCCAAAAACCCCCTATAAAAAAATCCCACGCAAAATCCTCAAATATATAGCAGATGATATGAATTGATCCTTAACCAAAATATACCCTCAAAAAATATGTCATAAAATAAAGATAATTTATCATCACTTTTATTTGTATAGAATTTTTATATTCAAATTTATTATCATGGATGATGTAACAAAATGTTTGATATTTTATCTCCTGAGAAAAATATACATTTTTAAAAAAAATAATTAAAAAATAAAAGAATTTTGCCTTAAACCCTCAAGTTTAGATTAGCTACTACTGGAAATTTACGTGGTTATTATCAGATAGTTTTAGGCAAATTATTGAATAATTTCTAAGAATTTTTTTTTACTTTTTTATTTTATATAAAGAATATCCTTTCATTTTTTTACAAATACAAACATTTATTTTTTTCTCAAAATAAAAATAAATTAATCTCAAAATCTAAATTTTTTAAAAAAAATTCAATATTATTCAATATAAATGGAAAAGTGGCAAAATAAGGTTGCTTTGGTAACAGGGGCCTCACAAGGATTGGGAAAATGTATCGCTAACACTTTGGCTAAAAATGGGATGATCGTTGTAGCCTGTGACAAACGCATGGATGGATTAGAGGTATATAATCATATTTCATATTTATTCATTTTCAAAAGAGGGTATAAGAGTAGGATCTTTCCATTAGAAATCACCCCCCCCCCCAACCACCTTCATAAGAAAATAAAAATTAAAACTTTTTAAATTCCTTGCAATATACCTTTATTTTTTTACATTAAAAAAATATTAACATTTCGAAAGCGCAAAATAAAATTTTATTTTAAAACAAAATATTTCAAAATTTTTTTTAAATTAAATTACCTATTTAAGATATCTGTATTAAAGATTGGCTCAATCGAAAAAGGTTAGTTAAGATTTTTTTTAAACTGCTCCCAAAAAAAATTATTTCCCCACCCGTTAATTATTTTGTTTATGTATGGGAAAAAAAAAATCATATTCCAAGTTTAGTTGTTAAAAAATTTCGAAAATCGGACTTAGTAAAGATATTTGGCCAAGGAAAATATTATCTAATCCTATAAATCTTGATAAAAAGAGGGCTAAAACTCTCGCCCATTATTTAGCGAAATATTAAGACTACTCTTTCTTTCTTTATGATAAAATTTTGATTTTGAACGATAACTGATTTAGTGGGGAAAAAAAATGCGAAATTTCGAGCTAACCTAGCCATAGAAATATTTTTGAAGAATAGCCCAGCTCGGCGGCAGAGGTTCAGGCCAGAACTCACATTTCTCAGATCTGTATATAAAATTTAAATTGGCTTTCTAAAAAAAAGATATAAACCTTTATTTATAAAAAATATGTGAGGAAGTAAATTTTGGGGCGGTTTTTCAGAAATGCATTTTTTTTTGTTAAAATAAATTAACAATATTTTAATATTATTGTAGTGTGGCGCCAATTTATTTTATACTGATATGAATTCTCTAACAACTATAGATTATTATCATATTTCTAAATTAAAACGAGAGAGAGAATATAAGATAGAACAACTAGTTATATACGTGCTAAAAATACAAATATTTCCTAATAATCATCTCCGCTAAATGTTATTTTTTTCTTTTTTTTTAAATAAATAAAATAATTTCTTTTTTGAATCTTAGGAATCCTTAAAGAACTGTAAAATCAAACCTGGAAATGCCGGTTTTATAGACCCAGTCAAATGCGATATTTCTAAAATTGATGACATTCTCAAATTGTTTAAGTATATAGAACAAAAATACAAGACTTTGCACGCGTGCGTCAATAATGCTGGCGGTGGTTTTTTGGATTATTTTTTACCTATTAAGGACAAAGAGGGGAATTACGATGGAAAGAGGGAAGAGAAAGAAAAGGACCGGATATATAAAGGCTGGAAACATATCTTAGAAGTGAACGTTCTGGGCACGTCCATTTGCTCTAAGGAAGCGATAAACTTGATGGCCAAATCCGGCGTAAAAGATGGACTGATAGTCAATATGTGCAGCGTAGTAGGACAAAAAGTCATTTTAATGAAAATGGACGAGAAGTCGGGCTTTTACAATCACATGTATATAGCGACAAAACATGCGATAGCAGCTATGACTCAATGCTTACGACTTGAAGTACAAACACATCCTTATGCCAACGCTACAAGAATAGTAACTATCTACCCGGGGATTGTTAAAACCGATTTCATTGATAATGTCCAGGATGAAGGTTCACATTTTATTTTTTAAGAAGAATTTTACTAAACGTTATGAATTTTATTTTTGAAATTTAATATTAAAGTTAAATTAGTGTTAAATCCATATTAGTCAGAAAGTAGCTATATTAAATAAGGATTTAATACAGGACAGTGCCTAAACATTTAGTGGCTGGGGGCAGAAGGAACTTTTGTCAAAAAAACCCAGGAAGGAAGGAAAGTAGGAAGGATTAATATATTAAATTATCTATCGCGCCTATATATATGTATATAAATATATATATATACCCTTTAAAATATTTTAATATATCAGTCAAGGTGGTTTCAAGCAAGTTAATCTATGAAAATTTCAGTTATTTAACCCCTGAGGATGTATGCGACGCTATGCTAGCCGCTTTTAAATGTAATAATTTGGTGCAAATGGACGCTATAACGGTAACTCCTGTCCGTACTCCTGGAAAATTATTTTAAAATATTATCCTCTTTATCTACATTTATTTATTTCAGGTTATAATTCTTGTAAATTAAAAAATATATATAACAAAATAAAAGATTTAAACAATATTAATTTTCTATAAAACAATAAAAAACGATAATATTTTTTTATAATACAAAAAATTTTATATTTCATATAATATAGGCCCTAAAGCTCCAATTATATATTTTTTAAATACATAAATATGGAAAAATTATTAGAATATTTTGCTGTATCATTGATTTTTCCTTCTCTTAATTAAGATATTTCATAATTCTAAACCCAGAATTTTAGGCTGGTAATAGAATCCGATTAAGGTAACATATGAGCATTTTCTTAATAACTACAAAATTTTATACAACCATTATTTTATAAATATAATTAAATGGCATTACCTTTTATCTAACCTTATCCTAACCTCGTGTAGCTGCTATAAAAAATAGTGATTTATTTGTATAATATTAGAACGCTCAATCTGGTAAGAGGGTGACGAAGGGAGAGGGGATACTAGGTCTTCGGTCTGAATTCAGCCCTCATAGATATTATATAAATTAATAAACCAGGATTAAGCATTCGATTACATGAAGAATAGGGGTATAGGGGGGTAGAAAAAGAGGATAAATTATTGATTTTAAGAAAATTGCAAAAAAAGTAGAAGTAAATAATATTGATTGCAAGTCTTTGCCATAAAAAAAGAAAATCTTTGAGTTATAGTTCATCATTTCAAAGATCTTTAAACGTTTACATAATTTTATGAAAATGATTAGTTGTTACCTATAAGATTATAGTAGAGCAATAAATAGGAATGAGTGAAAGATATAAGATATCTAAAATTTGAATAAAATAAACAATTAAAAACATATTAGGGCTAGTAATCAGCATCAATTATTTTTACAAGGTAAATTATTACTATAATTATTATTTTTATAAATAGTGGAGAATTAATGATATTATACAAAACCAATTTTGTCTGCAGCTTATGATCACCATGTTTTAATGTTACTTGTGAAAAAGAATTTGTCACACTCAAGTCCAACATTACAGAATATTTTTTCCATTCTCATGATGTTTGCTGAAAACATATAAACCTTTTCTAAAAGATATTAAAATATGTAGATTAAAATATTATGTCATTAAATTAAATATTTTATTAAGAAATAGTATAATATTACTTAGAAGATATATGAGTTCATTCTTCATTGCTAAATTCAATATTTTATATTGTAGATTTTTTTGTTTATAACTATTGTTCTTTTTACAAAAATAAAAAGTAACATTTCTATCACCTTTTCCATCTAAAATATATATATAGATTTTTTATAGGGGTCAGGTTTGGGGGCCAAAAAATATGGGAGGAAAGGCCTATAATATAGGTTTATATCAAAATAAAAATACAAAAATAAGTTAAGTCAAAAATAAGAACAAATTTGCATCCTTAACATATATACTTCGATATTTTTAAAGAAATTAAACTGGTCTACTTTCATTTACAAAAATTTAATCTATGTTAAAAAACTAAATGTTTAGCTTTTATCATCAGAAATATTAAACAATTGGTAATCTTCAGACTGAATTCATGCATATAGAAATTATTATCATCTCATAAATTAAGAATGAAGATTGCCAATTGTTGTTAGTATCTCATGATATATGCTAAAAATTTAGTTTATATGTTAAAAATATAAAGAACTATTACATGGAGTTTATTTTCTTTCTTTGAAAATAATATAATAATTATCTAATAAATAACTCTTTAAAATAGTTATTGTATAATTTTAAAAAGAAATGATAAAACACTAAAATATTAAAACAACTATATAAAAATATGTAAAAATTTATAAAATGACTAAATAAAAAAAATATATATTAATAGTATCGAATAGAGGTGGGCGCGGGCCTAATTTTTCATTCACGACCCACCCGCTCAAGGTGGTTATAAAAAAAATTTACGCCCATTCACGCTTACCATTAAAAAATTTTCGACCCGACCCGCCCGCTCACGACAAGCAATATTTTGATTCACGCCCGAAAATTCACGGTGTTTTTAAATTTTTCAAAACTATTGCATAATTTTACACTTTTTTGAATTCATTCTATTTATTTATCTAATTTCATAATCCATATTAATAACAAAAAATAAATATAATCTATAAATCGAAATTTATTTAGAAAAAGAAGAATGTGCATCTTTTTTTATTTCAATTGTGTACGCCTTTCCTCTAATAAGAGATTGGCTACAAAAAAATAACTTTTCACTAGAAGCCGAAATTGCAGCTGACAAAATTTTACTCGATAATTTTCTCAAAAAAGGAAATGAATATTCCTGCTTCCAAAACTTCAAAATATTGTCGTTATTTATTTTATATGAATCTTTTAAGTTCATCCTCACAGCTTTCATCGGTGATGTTGATGCTTCATCAGAATCATCTAGAAATTCTCTAAAATATTTTTAGAATATACGGTCTTTTATGAGTGTAGGATGAATTAGGAAAGTGATAGTTGGTATTGACCATGTTTTTTATGAGTTTAGGATAAGTTAAAGTTATAAATGATAGTTGGCATTGACTTATGCATTCATCTAATTCATTTTTAAGATTGTTTTATATATATAATTTTCTTCTTTTATTAAAAACTTAAGTCTTTTGAAATTCGGATCTAGAATTAAGCCTACCTTATGTAGTGGCTGCATAATAATCTTTTAAAAGAAATCTTCTTCTGAATTTTAAGGTTTTGATTATTATTGTATCACGTTTAGAAGGTTAACAAAATTTTATTAATTTTTGTTTCCATAGAAAAACTTTAATTATTGTGGGACGAGAATCTGCTCTCAGATTATCCGAGCATTCTTTAAATATTGATAAATATTTATCTAACTCGAGTATGATACTGATATCAATTGTGGCTAATCTATTTAATTTTGCTTGCTAAACAAGTACACCTGTATTTCAGAATATGATTTTAAGAAACTCTGTATCATGATATATACAGAGTTCCATCTCGTTATTCTCGCTATTTCATCTTGTTTAAGGGTGTGGCTTAGTTTGATATTGGCTGTAGATTGTTTGAAATATTGTACTATTTTTTTACACCATTTACATTTAAGGCTATTTCAGTTAAACAATTGTCAAAAATATAATGCATAATATTATTTAGTATATGGCATATACATGCTAGCGTTTCGTCATCTTTGAATGCACTTTTAAGATTTGCTCCGTTATCACTCACAGCTATACATTTATTTAAATAATTTTCTACTTCTGTATATTCTCCAAAAATTGAATTGACTACACTTTTAATTTTGACGTTTTTCATCCATTGCCCTTGTGGCCAAAACAAATGTTTTTAATTTAAAATCCTTAATGATAATATGTCCTGTAATGGTTAAAAAACTTAGATTTTTATAGTCATCCGTCAAATATCAGTGATTATGGACAAGTAATTATTGTTTATCATGCTTTTAATCTTAAATTTTATTTTATGGTATATTTTTGGACCTATAGTATTCATGAGAGTTTTCCGGTTCACAACTTTAATATTTTGTTATCCATATGTAACACCAACATTTATCTCTTGGCCTAGCTTTAAAATCCTTCACTTTCTGTTGCATTTAAAGATTGAAGATCTTTACAAATAAAATATAACTGACTTTTCTGTAAAAAGTTTAAGCAAAATTTAGCATAAAGTCTCGCGATAAAAAACACCTAAACATAAAAAGAAAATAGAACTAACAAAATGATACCGGATGTTGTTTATAAAATGCGGAAGATTTTTAGTTTTCATAAATTATTCTTTTTTAAAAAAGAACTAAATTAAATAAGAAAATATATAATATTATTAAAAAATTGCAAATTTATAATTAAAAAATTGCAAATATATTTATAAAATTGAAAATTTATTTTTATAAAAAAACAATTTTAAAATTAAAATTTCCGTTATTCACGGGAAATTTATGTTCACGCCCGATTACGCTCAGGAAAAATTTTGGGAAGGCCCGTCACGCCTTGGAATTTAAAATTTATTCACACTCACGCCTGACCCACCGTCACGGCCCGCGCCCAATTCTAGTATTGAAGGCTCTAAAAAGAGCTTAATTTAATAATGAAAATGTACCTAAAAAGCAACCATAAAGTTTACTGCAGAACAGGTCATAGGTATAACAAGTTTAATTTTTATTTTATTTTATTTATTTTTAAATTTCTATCTTTTTGAAAACAAAATGTAATGCTTATATAGCATGTTACAAACAAAAATCAATTTACATATTGATTTAATAATTTATATAAAAAAATCAATTTAACAATTTATATTTAAAAAAAAATGAATATAATAATTTATATAAACGCAAAAAAACAATTTAAAGGTTAGTATTAATCAGGTCATATCAACATTCCTCCCTTTAAGTAATAAACTCCACTCAGGTTTTTCTTACATGTGAATCTTATCGTGCAGGCAACGTTTCTTGATAGTTATATTGTCATCATTAGTATATTTCATTAACTTTTGCTATTGAAAGTTTATTTAAAAGAAAAATATTTTAATAATATATTTTTTTTTAAATATATTTTTAGTCTTTATTTCATTATAAAATTATCGAATTTTTTGTGAAAAATTATATTCCTGCTTGGTCTTTGACTAATAAGACTCTGTTCTTGTATTCCTAAATTTTGATCATCATTTCTTCTGAAACTTAGAGTAAAAGGTATTGCATTTTCAGTATTTGTTTTCAACTGTGTCGTTTCATTAAGTGGTGTAATACTCGTAGACCTTTTTTTGATTTGGTCTAAATGTCTTCTAATAATTTTGTTTCCTGTATCCATTTCATATATTAAATTCCCATTTTTGCGTTATACAGTGCCTTTATTCCATATATTATCCTTGAAAGTTTTATACCAAACTTTGTCACCATTCATGATATTTCTATTTGATGATAAATTACGATTAAATTCATTCACTTTATCTTCTTGTGGTTTGACTAAATCCCATCTGGTTCTTACGG